GTTTGCCTCAATGGCAGAGAGTCCAGTTCTGATTTAGGGAGAGGAGAGGTTTATCTCTTTAGGGACACCCAACCCACTCCCGTGGAGTGGTTCCAACTCATAGTGACCCCATAGGACAGCATAGAACTGCCCCCTCCTCAGTCCCCCCGAGTTTTCAAGGCTGCCATCTCAACAGATGCAGGCACTCTGGCAATCCTGGTGGGTCGACCCGCTGACCTTTCGGTCTGCAGCCTAGCACTAACTCCACTGCAGCTCCTTGAGAGTCACCCCTCCCTGCCACACCCAGGGTCTCTCCAGGTGCCTCGACCCACAGCTGGGGCATGACTTGACCTACAGTTCACACCCTGGGTGCCCCTAGATGCCATTCCCCAGGGCCTGGGGGTCAGGGGGGGTCCTCAGATGTCCCAAGTCCCATCCTTAAGTCTGTCCTTATTGGTCCCCACTGTGTGCCAGGTGCTGGGGACAATGTTGCGTTCAGGGGCCCAGGTTCTAGAGCCTGGAGAGGAGCAAGAACAAACACCTGGAGTAAGTGGTGGGAGGGAATTCACTCAGGACCGGGGCCAGACCAGGGCTGGGGAAAGTGGGGGCCTGCCTACATAAGGGGCATTTGGACTAGCCGGAAGATCTGTGAGCAGTGTTTCTGGCTGTGAGATCAGAAAGAGCAAATGCCATAGGGCTTGGCTGAACTAGAGAAAGAACAAGGAGGGAAGTAGAGTTGGCAGGTAACAAGGACACCTGGACGCTACACCTGGATGCTTGTGAAAAAGCCAGCTTCTCAGCTCCCTCTAAGTCTGGAGTTGAGGCTCAGGAATGTGGGTGGTGGTGGTGGCTGATTTTTGTTGTTCTAAAAAAGATAAAGAGCACACAGCAGTTGCCAATTCGACCTTTTTCATGGGTACAATTCAGTAAAACGAGTGACATCAGCAATGTTGGGCAGCCTTCCCCAGTGGCCACTGCCACATTTTCCATCGCTGGAAAGAAAAACCCCATGCTATCAAAGCCATGGTGTTTTTCAATCGCCTCACATCCATGAGAGAGTTGGATGGTGAATAAGGAAAACCGGAAAAAGATTTTACTTGGATCCACACTCAGTGCTAGTGGAAACAGCAGCCAGGAAATCAAGCGACATTATCATTGCACGGGGCGACTGCTACACAAGACTGCGTGAAGGTGGTAAAGAGAAAAGATGTCCATTGGAGGACTGAGGGGCCCCTGACCCAAGCCATGGTGGTTCAATCACCTCAGATGTGGGGGAAAAGCCAAACCATGGATAAGATCTCAGAAGAAGTGATGCATTTGAATTATGGCCCCCAACTCCCACAAACTGCCAGAAGAACAAACAAATCTGTCTGGGAAGAAACAGGGCTAGAATGTGCCTTAGAAGCAAGGAAGCCGAGACGTCATTTCATGTACTTTGGACCTGTGGTCAGCAGAGGCCACACTCTCGAATAAGACATCGTGCTTGCTGAAAGAAGCCCCTCCGTGAGATGAGCAGACGCAGTGGCTGCCACACAGCCTTGTGAGGCCGGCGCAGAATCAGGCAGTGCTTGTTGAGATCATAGCAAAAGTGACTCCCCAAGACACAAAACAAAGTCTCAACAATGATCGCTCCCTCGTCCCTCCCACTCCTGGTCACCTCTGCGAAATGCAAATCTGCCTACCTCTGCCTATCCAAGGTATTCGTACAATGGAATCCTATACTACCTGCCCCTTCATAAAAAGCCCCCAAGGCGGGTGTCAGGAACAATATTGGAGGACACAAACTGCGTAAGAAACCAGTACCACCCCAACAAACACTTCCAGGGGTCTCAGACCGATTTGGCTGAAGGCAGAAAAAGAGACATTTACCCTTGTATATATCTGGGCCAGGCAAAGAAAGCCCAACAGAGCCTGAACGGAAGTACTTTGTACACTAACCTCCCACCATTTCTAAAGCGCAGTCACGTGTCGCAGGAGCTGAGGCAGGAGAAGCGCCTGGGTCGCCCTGAGCTAGTCCTGAGTGAAGACTGGCCAACCTCCTCCACATGCCAGGAGAGCGAAGGAGATGCTGGTCTTTCGGGGCAGCCACCTCCACTGAATGAGGATGTGTGCAAAGCGGCTTGATCACTGATCTCACAAATAGTGAGCACCTGCCTGGAAAGTGGTGCTGCTGCGAGTGTGGGGAATCCAGTGATGCGTACAAGTCAGACAGCCCCCTCTCCCTTCACCGTCGGTGCATCCCGGAAGCAAAGAAGCACAGCGACAGTTCCCATCTTGCATGGAGAAGGGGGGTTCCCACTGGAATCACTTGGAGCGCTGTGCCCACTGGCCAATGCCTGGGCCCCACCTGAGACCCATGCAGCCCAAGCGTTGGGGGTGGGGCCCAGACGTCAGTATTTTGCATAAGCAGGTGCTTCCCATGTGTGAGCAGTATGAGAATCACCGGTGTGGACTCCCAACCCCATTAGCAGGGCCGAGGCCTGACTGGAGACTCACCAACTTTCAGAGTCTTGGGAGGCAATTTCTGGTTCTGAACAACCTTCTTTTATGGCTCCTGATTGCAGGTACCACCAGACTGTGTACCCAACAAGCATCTTAGGGCATCGCTGGGAAATGGAGGCAAATGAAGGAAGGGTGATGGCCCAGGAGGACCCTGAAAGGCTGGTCTCCAGAAGGAGACACTCCTTTGTCCCTATGACAGGCCATGATCCGGCCCCTGAAATGTTGCCAGGGGCAGCCTTCTCCCCTATGCTAGAGAGAGAGAGGCCACCGCCAGACATCCTTCCCCATCTCTTTACCCCATCACGATTAAAGGCCTCTAATGTACTGGATGGATAACTCCTGATTGTATGTAACCAGAATCATGCCCCTCTTTTTCTGACAACATCCAGGTGTGTACCTTTGGGCACCTAGTTAGCCAAATTTTGGTAGAGCCCAAAGCCCAGCTGTTCCACGAACACTCCCCACTCCCACCCCGGAAGACATGGCCCCATGACCAGGCTTAGCCAATCAGGGAATTCAAACTCCACCAACCTCTGAGCTCTCCCAAGGCAGGGGCAATCACTGCCTCACTCACGATGAATTCACACCTTCCATGGACGTGCCGATTGATGGGTGACTGACTGGATGAGCAGAGACCCACGATCACGGTCCATGGAGGCCGCAGTTAAGAAAACACACAATGTCCAGCACTGTGCAAATCTGCTGTCAAAGACCTCCTTCCAGGGTTCAAAAGCAACAATGGGACTTGGAGGGCAAAGATGCGCCGGACCCAAGCCACCACGGTCTTTTCAATGACTTGATATGCGTGTGAAAGCTAGGAAAACATAAAGCGCTGATACATTCCCACTGGGGTGTGGGTGAAGAATGTGGACTACATCACATCCTGCCAAAGAACAAACAGATTGGTCTGAGATGAGAAATAGAACCAGAATGCTCCTTAGAAGCCAAGACGGCGAAATTCTGGATCACTTACTTCGGATGGGTCATCATCAAAGACCAATTTCTAGAAAACGCATCATGGTTGGTAAAGTATAAGATCAGGCAAAACTAGGGAAACCCACAATTAGATGGGTTAACATAATGGCCATGACAACAAGCTCAAAACACCAGTCATGAGAGTGGGCCAGGACTAGACAACGTTTTGTTCCCTAATACATGAGGTCAGCTTGCGTCAGAGCCAACTTGATAGAAACTAACAACCATAAGAGTGGATGGATGGATGGATGGATGGATGGTTGGTCGGTCAAATAGAGGGCCGTGATAAATTGAATACGTTCATTAGATCTCTCTGTAAAGGTCTTCCTCTATGAAGTTGACTGGCCAGCCAATTGCTCAGGGCAAGAATCTGAAACAATTACCCACAATAAACATCATCTTGAAATGAACAAGGATTCGATGATGCTGATACTGTACTACAAAAAACGTCAGCCCTCCTACTCGATACTCACCCTCATGAAATGCTCACTGAAGATGTGGGTGATTATGTTAGTCCAGGTTGACTAGAGCAACAAATCCAGACACCCGTGTGTGTAAGAGAGAGCTTTATATCAAAGAGCAATTGTATAGTGAAAAACCTTCCCAGACCAGTCTAGATCAAGACCATAATTCTGATATTAGCCCATATATCCAATACTAGTCTATAAATTCCTCTTTAGATTCATGTAGCACATGCAATGATGCCAAATGCAGGAAGATCACAGGCTGGTGGGTGGGAAGTCTTATGGATCCAATGGTGGTGGAAGCATCTCCAGGGCTCTGGCTGCCATCAGCATGGCTCCATGTGGCTTGTCAACAGGAATGTGAAGCAGAGAGAGAGAGAAAGAGAGAGAGAAGTCTGCCTCTTCTGATGACAGCATCAAGAGAGATGGCATTCCCAGAATCCTCATGAGAAAGCTACACCCACAGGAGGGATCATCTGGCTGTAACCTGACTGACAGGCTAGACTCCACCCCGTCATTCTTGTATCACATTGACATGA